CAGCATATATACAACATATGCGTCAACAGAAAAGTTCGCCCCCTAAAAAGCATACTGGCCCCTCATGTTCCAGATCTTTTGCTCAACTGCGCTAACTGTCCAGCCGCCATCGAGCTGCGAGGCGACGGATTCCCTCATATCCCTAGAAATGACTAGGAACCTCTCAATCAAGTCACCATCAATTACACCCTTCAATGGAGTATAGTAGGACCTATATGCCAAATGATCGCGGCCTGCGAGTGGCTTATCGTTCGTGCGCAGCAGGAACTCCAGTTGCTGGAACATCTTGAAATCTTTCCGAGATTGGAATGGAATCATAACGCCAAGTGTACCCTGCAGACCAGCCCAGAAGAGAACCTTTTCGCCACCAGCGATGAGGCTAGTCTTTTGAACAGCCATAGGGATGTCCTGCACAAAGTAGTGCATAACAAGCTCCAGGCGGTTCGGTGCCCCTCCCAAATAGTCTTTATCCTGGAGCAGCGGTTGACCGTCGTTCGGCTCATCTGCATGTTCCGAGACCTTGAGCGGGCATCGCACCATCCACAGGTTTCCAAACTTATCGCCCCCAGCAACGGTTTCGTAGTCTACCATGTCGGTGCATGTCGTCCATCGAGGGACCGAGTCATCGATGAAGGGGATCAGACGGTTCGGGTGTACAATATCCTTGTGAACGACATACGTGACGGATTCACGTAGGTCCGAGACTATAAGACGACTGCCCTGCGTCTTTAGGCCCACAATACGAGTCGGAGTGCATGCCTTCGCCTGCGCTTTGCGGAGTAAAGAACGTCGTCCGCAGTCGTAGAGAGACAAGTCGTTGCCAACGCCGATGGCAAGCTTGCCTTTGAAAGCAAGCATAGCCGTTGGTGGCGCGGTCAGCTTGGTCTTGTGGTAGAACTCAAGTTTCCGTCCATTATCCTGGAGCTTATACAAATAGACTCCGGCGCTCTTGTAGTATATAGGAGAGGGTATAAAATCTCGTGCCCAGCCCACAGCCAGGAAAGTCTCCTCGGGATGACTCTCGAAAACCACTGTGGCGACGCTGAGTGCGCATCGATTTTTCTCCAGTTCGATGGAGTGTACTACGGCTTTCTCAATGACTGGATCAACAATTTGGATGCACGAGGACCACCGGCCAGCCATTCTGGGGTATCCGTAATATTTTCGCGCCGCCAGAGTAATAATTTCATCATCTGCGTTCGCTTCGCCATCGGGATTAGCAGTCGCACCACCGTTCTGCTCGCCATCCATCTCAACAACCATGGCTGAGTCACCGTCTTTGTCTTTGGTAGCTTCGACAGCAACTTCCACAGCTTCCTTTTCAAACATTTTTCGGGTAGCCGGGTCCATAACGTTAAAGTCCTTCTCGATAACATAATACAGGGCCTGCTCCGGATGCCCGACGAACTTGTGGGGGGTATATTGCAGCTCTATAGACTCGTGATGAAGTTTACTTGAGAGATCATCGAAAGTGAAAATTCTTTGAGCGGAGTGGGTCAGCAAATGGTTATGTTAAAAGTTAAGGGGAAATGGTGTTTGAGCTGGATTTAGTAGGAACAATTGGAATAGTTAGAGTCCTCAATCAATGATCTTGGAATAAAATTGGAGTCATCATAGTACAATGGCAAGAAACAATTGTGCACATACCGAAGGTCCTCGCCTCGAACACAAATGATGCCTTTGAACTGCTCGCTCTCAAAAGTCCAAGCTGAGTCGAATGAAATGTAATTGAGAGGCGTGAGCGCCAAACTGCTGTTTTGCGGATCAGTGTAACCCAGCCATGGCCTCGATGTTAAAGCCAGAATAGCTGGGTCGCCTCCAGCGAGGACTTTCGCAAACTTGATAGGGCTAGTACCGAGGAACCGCCTCCTCGTCTCACTGAGTTCGCCGGTGACTTCATCCATTGCGGTTCGGATGTAAACGCCAGAACTGAGACCGACATGAAGATAGAGACTGTAACCATGGGAAGACCGGTCGCGCATCGACATGATAGCGATCGAACTAGGTGAGGCAGATAATGCTTGTACGGACAGCTGGTTCAGAATTTCTCCGTCGTGGTCAGGAACCAGCGAGAATATCCTGACAGACTTGTCGTCGCATCCAACTGCCAGGAAATCGCTTCGAACACGACCCTCAGGCACCTCTGCAATGCCTAGACATGTCACCGTGCCCTCCAGGTTAGCTTCATCTTCGGCCTTGGCCAACATTCCGTCAGGATCACACTCGAAGTAGTAGATTTCCCCAGAACTCAGGGCAATAGCCACTTGTCGGTTGTTGCTCGCACAAGCAACAATTGTCCGATGCGGTGGACTATGCCAATCTGTAATCTCACCAATGCTGTTGATGTGACGGATACCCCGCGGGTAGATTTGGAGAAGGTTATCATCTCCAAACTGTTGAATTCCAAGCGTCGTAGTCTCCTTCAGGAACCCAGTGTTCAGGGCCTCCTCTACATCCTCTCCGATTGCAAGTACCAACGTGTGTGATAGGAGGGACAATACGATATATGAGTCATGCTCATCATCGGAGGTCTTTTTCGTAGTCCATATTGCACTTGCGCGCTGGGGTAACTGTGACTCGATGAGATCACACACTCCTAGGGCATTTCTGGAGGTTCTGAAGGTGCTTCGTGATCCAGATCCACAGATCGAATAGATCTGTGGCGCATCTTCATCCGTGAGGTTTGCGATTTGCATGTCCATCAAGGGGTTCATGCTAGTTATTGACCGTACAGGATTCAGGTTAATAAGTGGACGGACTTGGAAATAAGCTGGTGCATAACTCTCCAGAGGATCTGCTGGGTAATTATCACTGTCGAAAACAGGATCATCGGTATCATCTCCAAGCTGCTCCAGTTCATAGAGTTTCCTATCTCCGGATTCGCAAGCAACATACAGGAAACCGGACTTTAAGATGCAGAGACTCCTGGCGAGCGGAATAGTGTCGAAGTACTTGATCTTCATCTTTAGAACCGTCTGTTTGCTGGAACCTGAATCACCCGCTAAATCGAAGGTGACTTTGAACAAATCTCCATCTTCAGATTGAAGAAGGAAGAAGAAACTCCCCCGCTTCATCGTGTACATTGTACCGCCGACTATGTACCGCTTCCTCAAGGGGTCTTCGGCAACTCCATTACGACGGGGAATTGGCACCCGCAGCACAGTGGACGAAGAATTATACGGAAACCGGTAACTGATGTTCTCCTCTCCGCAACATAGAACTCCACTAGGCCCAGCGCTGCCTCCTGGGACACGGAAGATTCTATTCGACGTCTTATCTACCTTCTCTGACCACTTTCGGACCACATGGTTCAAACCTAAGTCTAGCTCGTAGTAGACCAGTTGCTTCTCGATTTCTTGGTAGGCTTTTCCCGATGGATCCAAGTCCGACTCCGAATAGTCTACCTCGAGCGTAGCGAAAAGCGGGTTGTCGTATCCGACGTCGAGACCGCACACGTCATAGACCAGAGTGTGCGGCTTGTGTGCTTCCAGTGGGGATGAGATGGTGAGTTCGCCGTTTACGTTCCTATTCAGGATGTAGACAATTTTGTTCTTCTCGACCGAAGCAACCATCACCGCTCGACCCTTGGGGTCCGCAGCGACGTATTGTCCAGGAATGACGCGACGGATTCCCGACTTGCCGAATGTCTCATAATGGATCGTTTTGAATTCCTTCTCATGAGGGAGGTACTCGAGCGTCACGATTCGGCCTGAGTCTGAGGTCACAATTATACAGTCTATATAATGTTAGCCATGCACAACAGAAGACCATTATGTCCGGCCGAGTGTCATGCGCTTGAGATGTGCAGACTGTTGCGGCCTCAAACTCTGGAAGCCCTAAAGTGGGCTCAGGTATACCCATATGCGGTACATACCTTTGCTAGCCCCCGCGAGCCGGAAGAGAGCTAGTCCGCGAATGATGCCAAAAACGTCATGGGTATGGATTTCCTTTAGAACTCGCTCCAGCCGGGTCACTTCGTAAAGCGTGAGCCGTGAGCCATTCGCCACGAGAATCTGCTGGTGGCCCTTCACTCCCGTGAACTCTCCCACAATGGCCTGCTGGGTATCTGAAGGCGGTTGTAAGGTCAGAGCATACATAGACAAGGTAGAAAAGCTCGTCATGGTGGCCAAAGGTGGGCGCCGCGGGCCCTGCGCAAGCTCGAGCGAGTGGTTTCAATGCAGCGTGGAAAGGTTGCTGTGCTAGAAGAAAGAGTACGTGCGGTGTACAGAAGAGCGGTGGAAGTGATGTAGAAGAAGCAGTGGAGATGGTGAGAGAGCGAGGGTGCAGGTAGGTGGAGAGCTGCAAGCAACAGAAATATTTTGGAGTCGACAGAGGTGAAGGACGCAACGCGAAGCTAGAGCCGCGTTGCCAAGCCTGGAGGCTCAGCTGCAGCCCACCGCCCGCGCGCCCGGAGGTGCCTAATCATATAAGCGGCCCATGCCCTCCAAAGTCAAGGTTGAGCACCACCAGCACGTCGCCAGTCATTTAAAGGTCAAAGTCTGTGTATTCTTCAAAGAAATTGAGGATGGTGTTGCTGTTTCACATGTGCGTGAAGAATAATTCGCAAACACCATGCTTTTTATTAACTATGTCGGACGCAGCACAGAGTAAATGTGCCCATCTTATAGACATAAATCATAGAATGTTATACATGGAGCTGTTAGACAGTACATCCTAGCAGTTCCGCGGTCTTGTATTTAAATATGAGTAAAAGGAGTAGCGTAGTACCTGAAAGCTGATACAAATCGGTCACGTGCCGTCCCATTCAGCATATAGATGCCTGCAGTTCACCAACAAATCGCAAATACAACGAATGAATATCAGTGTGCGTTAATTCTCGGAATAAGCGTGTTAATAACAGCATGTAGTGGCATTTAACCGCTTACGCTAGGGTAGAGAAAGGCGGTGGAGACGCCTCATGAAGAAAATTCTCCAAACTTCTCACGTTTTTAGTTTTATAGTTTTTAATTAAACTAATTCTTTCATCAATCAGAAGCACCGGCCGGTTGGCGCAATGGTAGCGCGTCAGTTTTCGGAGATAGTTTCTGATACACTGAAGGTTGCGGGTTCGATCCCCGTGCTGGTCGCAACATTTCTTTTTGCGCTCAGGTGCACACGTACATGTTCTTTTTGTTTGAGGTTTGGTTTGCAGTTTAAGTGGCTAGTCCGGCTCGCCTGCATGTCTTTAAATCATTGCGCGTGCGATGAGCTCTTAATACTGCTTGAACGTATTTGGTGAGCCGCTTATGGTTTCTTCTAGATAGAAACAAATTGTAGAGCACCAGCGATTTATATAATGTATATTCTGCCCTGAAAATATGAGATTCATAACAAATATTAAGCATGATGGATGGATGGTTCGGAACTCTTGCTAAGTGATGCCCGTCCAAATGAACTGCTACAAATAAAAACTACTACATGTTCCTCTCTGCAGACCAAGGGGTTCCTCGAGCGCATCTTGTCAAATGCAGAACTTAACCCAGCATATGTCGTATATCCGGATTTGTCGCTTATATAATAAATAAGGCCGCTGCTACTTCATCCCGATTCCTTGTTAAGAATGCTTTCATTTGCGCAATATACAACCCAAAGTCTCGTGCAGATAGCATGAAGACAGGGTCGGAATCAAGTGATTACTGCTCATGTCTAGCCGGGTGAGGAAGTGGGATTAGGGGTGGCGCCACGGGCGGACGCCGTACATCGTGGGCCAGTGTGAGGAGAGATGAGGAAAGGCTTCATGAACTTCAGAACGCGACTAGGTCAGGGGCCTTAGAGGGTGCTGCGTGCTCATAAGGTGAGCTGGTATATAGATAGCTTTAAATACCATTTGAAGTGAGGTAGGAGCAAGCCCAGGCTAGTGATTCATCTAATTGCCTCTAAGGGAAGCTGCATAGTTAACGTCTATTAAGGCTTCAGTAGAAGAAAATGACGAGATGAAGGAAGCAGAAAATCAGTTTAATTCAGGCTTCAAGGGTGCTACCAGCCCTTCTAATACGAACGGTAAGGGACGTTGGAAGAGAGTGCCCACCACAGGCATTGAGCACGTAACCTTCAGTATACCAGAGGAGAGCTCCGAAAAGTAACGCGCCATTTAGGGATTTCAGAGTAGAGCTGGTACTAGAAAGAAATCAGGTATGCGTAGTATTCCACGTCGGATAGATATTGTTATTGCTGAAATGCCAGAAATTTGAAAATTACGTATACTACGATCCGATTTTCAACGCCGAGTTTGCTTCTCTCTATGTTTTCTGTTACTTTCAATGCCTTTGCATTTTATGGGCCATAGCGTTAATTCCTCGGTTCAGAAGCATCGAGAACGGCAGAGGAGAAGACGAATCCCAGTCAGACAATAGAATGAGAGTCACAGCAGAGTGCGATGCTGCTAGTAGTTCTGTTGATGTTAAAATATAGGGATAGATCGGGAAAGAAAAGAGCTAGATCACCACCCATAACAGGCCCTCTGCAGAAGAACTCCCCGCGGACACCCCACAACTGTTAAAAAAATAAAAAGAGTAAACCCGAATTAAAGAACAATAGAACACAAAAAGAAATGCTACAACCAAGCACAGCGATCGAACAGAATCTGGTGGGAATTAGAATGAGAACTCGAAACAAATAAATGAGAAGGACAGAATCTATGGGACAATGAGGAAGAAAAACTTGAATAAAAACAATAATGCAGTTTAATGTGCTACCTGGTTCTAATCGGGTCTAGGAATACGCAATAGCAATGCTTAGGGCAAAGTAATCCCGACTCTAGAGGAGCGTCCCTCTAGAGTTCAACCCCTTTGCTTTTTCCTTACCTTTGCCATTCCAATCTAGGCATGGTGACTTTT